ACTCTTCCCAAAACCGATAAGTTTTCGATGCTAAACAATACTAAAGTGTAATATATTTTCTCCACATGACTTGATAAACAAGTCAAATCGCCAGATGTAGTGCTTGTAGGTTTCCGTGCAATCATCGGACTGTTGAATGGGGCAATGAGAACCTTCGTCTTCATACACTAAAAGAATTATGTAAAGCCTACAGGGAGGTATGATGTGCTTTGGACTTGCTACTTTTGCATAATCAAAATTGTTTAAGCATAACATATTTAACCCTCTTAATAACATGCAAATGTTGCATATCATCTACTTAATCACTTGTGCAGGTGAAGCCACATTAGATTAATATACCTTAGTCTCATAAGCGTGTGGGAAACATCCTTTAATATTTTTTCTAAATGTTTACAAAAAATGCTTTAAAAAATCCAATCTTTCATAAATAGTTTGAACTTTAAGAATTATTGAATTAAATGGTGAACGATTACTTCTATTCTGTATCTAACGAAAATATAAAAGCTTGTGCTTATTAGGGAAAATCAGCAAATTGGAGAAATTATGCATATTAGAAACAAATATTTTTTGTGCTCAAAATTTACTTTCTACGTTTCTTCTCTTGCGAAAATATTTTCAGACAAAACCAATTCAACATGCATATCTTTCTAGCTTCAATCACGCTTCATTCAACAGGGGTGGTCATACTGAACCATCGGAAAACTTCAGGCTTGGCTTAAAAACTCCTGAAGAGCTGAACAATTTTCAACATTAAAACCTGTGAGGTAGTCCCTAAACATTCTACCTTCACTTTATTGGTTCCTAAACTTAACAATGCCTTTGCAATATTACCTACGTACACATTACATCCATGAGTATAAAATAAATAATTGATCATTCATTTGTTTTCTCATTACAATGTCTTGTTTCTTTGTTGAAATCGCGCAAATCTCACTCGCGAGCTATCTGCGCTAGCCTTCGCTATTTTAGAAATGACAGAGGGAAGACTGCAACGTGCAAAGTGTTTTCGAAGTGAATTCGAATGTAAAATCAGCCTATAACGTTTTTATGTTAAGTCGACACATGATGCAAGTTTGATGAAGATCAATAATTTACGGCCCCTTTCAAGCTTTTGTAAACCAAGATGGTCTAATATAGATCTTTAGATTCACGGTTAATTTCTAACATGGTAAACGTCAATAAGATGTTAACTTCATGAATACTTAATTTCTGCACATAGTGATCAGTTAGATTAATAAATAAACGGCAACATCATTTTGAAACATAGTGAATGTACCTTGATTATTTGATTATTATTTATTTCATATACTAACATCAGAAACTTTTTTGAATTCGCTGGTATTCCATTTTAAATGTACGACATGACACAAAATGTCAAAGTGTAAAATTGTATTTAATCGAAATTAGCCACATTATTAATACTAGAAATACGACCTTATAACACCAAAATGTTGTTTTTATTTAATTAAACACTCAACGTTTCGCTTTACAGCTTCTTCAGGAGCATTCACTAAAACAGAAACCGAAATTGACAGTACAAAGCTTCAAATGGTTTAAATAATAACTTCTATTCGAATCTATGACGTGCATTCTTACAGCGTGCTTTTGATATATTAAGTAGTAAAGCTTTGTAGTGTCAGTTTCGGTTTCTGTTTTAGTGAACGCTCCTAAAGAAGCTGTAAAGCGAAACGTTGAGTGTTTAATTAAATAAAAACAACATTTTGGTGTTATAAGGTCGTTTATTTCTAGTATTAAAATGTCTTCTGTACACACTATCATATTTCATATCAGTAATTTAAATTTTGAAAATTCAGTTTTAAAGTAAAGCCAAAGTTGAATAAGGAAAATATTAGATGAGGTCTTTTTAATAAAAGTATTAATACTTTTTCTACCAAAGTTTTTAATAAAAGAGTTGTTTAGCTAGTTTTTCAATAAACATTATAACATTTCCAATATAACAAATTATATAGAAGAAGGGAACTTACTCTTACAATTTGAATAAATATTCTTATTTTTCTTTACCAAGTATGAAACACAACTTTTCTAATAAAACTCGAAACACGCAACCCTCAGATTGCGAGTTGAGCGCCATAACCACCTGATCATGTTAGGCCCCGTCTCAAAAATAAAAGGGTTTAAAATATATGTAAACGTTTTTTTTTCTCATTCATAATATTCAGTTGCACACACGATCAGCAGAAAAAGTTAAAGTTCTTTTCTTTGACTTTTTTTCTAATAGTATTATCTGTAAGATGCTTAACTATTGATAAACCTATTTCCGGCAAATTTATTTGCATGGTCGTTTCTAAATAGGGCGTTCCACTGCATACCTCAAGAACAGATAATCTAAGCCTAAATTCATTTGTGCATATAGTTGATCACATATATTTGGTATAATTATCGGAAATTTGCCGTAAATTAAGAAGAAGCCAGAAAAAAAGTGGCCAGGTGGCTAGAGCACTCGACTCGCAATTGGAGAGTCGCGGGTTCGAATCCTCGTCACACCAAACATGCTCGCCCTTTCAGCCGTGGGGGCGTTATAATGTGACGGTCAATCCCACTATTCGTTGGTAAAAGAGTAGCCCAAGAGTTGGCGGTGAGTGGTGATGACTAGCTGCCTTCCCTCTAGTCTTACACTGCAAAATTAGGGACGCTAGCGCAGATAGCCCTCGTGTAGCTTTGCGCAAAATTCAAAAATTCAAAACAAACGGAACGTTGTACCATTTGGAAAAATACACCAAAAACTTATGGTGTATAATACAAAGGAGAACTGTATGTGTTGAAATCTACAATATATATATATAGAAATTTTCATCACAATTTAGTAAAATCTAAAAACTTGTGTTAAAAACAACAAAATTTGTATTCTATGGAACACTAGTTTGGTGTCTGGATGGCTATAACGTAAGTGACAAAACTTCTGGCTGATGAATGATTTTAGCTTTCCTAACAATAAAGCTTGTTTCTTAGTTTGGTACAAAATAACTTAAAGTTAAGTTCTGCCATCATGAAATAGTTAAACGCCATCTATGAGATGAAATTTAGAAAAGACTAATCTACTAAATTCGCAGAATATTGGGGTATTTTGTTTGTAATTAAGCACAAAGCTACACAATGGGCTATATGTGCTCTGCCCATCACGGGTATCGAAACCCGGATTCTAGCGTTGTAAGTCCGCAGACATGCCGTTGTGCCGCTGTGGGGGAGGGGCGAATATTGGGGTATCTTGTGGCCAGTAGAATAATTGAAGCAAACATTTTCGATAAACTGAAACTGCTACTTTAGAATACTTTGTTATTTATTTTTTGTATTTTTGGTTTGCCCTTGTTTTATACTTGAAAACTTTCAATACCAGTGGCCAGAGCCAACATTTGAAACAATAATAACAAGTCTTGGTATGAGTAATTATGGAAAATTTGTTTATAAACGTTGTTTAAAACATTCTTTGAAGATACTTGTACAAATAAGCTAAATTTCCAAATAATTCGAAGTTTTCTGATGACAAATAACTAATTGGATTTTTTCTTCTGAATTACAGCAAGTAAAAGCTTTTATCGTTTCGAACCCACCCATGTTTCTGCAATTAAATCTAAGAAAGGTCTCGACCTAAAGCATTTAAAGGCCAGCAGCAGGTTACAGTCAAATTCTGGTAACTGCACATACTCTGTAAAAGTCTAGAAGACGATGAACACGAGAAATATTGATTGACTGAACAATGTACAGGCAAACCACTTAGTCTTTATTTTAACACACACAGAACCTGTTGAAGTCTTAAATAACTCTAGAGACAATGTACTTAACATTCTAAAAAATGTTCGCTTGAACAACCCTCAAAATGACTCATTAATATTTGTGGTCGTTTCATGATTACAAAGTCCTTAAAAATGAAAACTTCAGGAACGTAATCCTAGCCTAGTACTCCTTTTTTTTTTCATTTATCAAAAAATGGAACAGTAAACTTTGTATATTTTACATTACGGAAACAAATTGTATTTTTATTGTTACAACAGTAAATATTCCTTATCATACTTCTTGTTTTTCCAGTACAGACAAGGCGTTACCTTTGCGCGTTTGCAACTAGCATTTGTTTTGTTTATACTTTCCATTATTATTTTTAAATATTTACAAAATAAGTTTCAAATGCAAAAACTTCGTAATATATATGAGACGGTATATGTAAACGATCGAATTAAAATGTTCTGCGGGGTATTACTGTTATAAAAAAAATGTTCTGCGGGGTATTATTGTTATAAAAAAATGTTCTGCGGTGTATTACTGTTATAAAAAAATGTTCTGCGGGGTATTACTGTTATAAAAAAATGTTCTGCGGGGGTATTACTGTTATAAAAAAAAATGTTCTGCGGGGTATTACTGTTATAAAAAAATTAAATGAAATATTTTTTCAACATAAATTAAATTAGAGAATCGTATATGTTAAAGCTGGAAAAAACATGAAAAACATTGTTTATAAATATATTTGGTTAAATTGGCTTTATAAAAGCTACGTATTAATATCTATTATATTAATATTTCTGTCAGTAAATCAAATATATATCGAATTGTAAATTCGTTTCGGATTAATTTGCTTCTCTATGCCAAACTTAGAACAAAAGAGGAATTCTTGGATGAAGCTATTCGCTCAAAAAATGGGCCGGCTTTAATATTCCGATATATTTTGAGATTTTTAATCTTTCTTAACGTAATAGCGTTTGATTCTAAGTTTCGCTGCAGTAAATTTCTTGATTGCATATGCTGTAAATAAAGATTGCTTACATTCAGCCTTATATGGTGAAAATCACCGCTACGATACCCAGTTTAGATATCATTTGTAAAATCTATATATAGTTTCCATTTTCTTTCTTTTCTTTTTTTTTTTTTTTAATTGGGTTTACTTACCATGAGATAAAGATGGTTATGGATAGGATAACTGAGGTGTCAGAAAAAAATTTCTTACCGTCTGCTTGACTTCTCTAGAACTGCTTCTCTTCAGAATAACATACCTTCATCTTCGTCGGTGACATTAATTTCCAAGCCGGCAATCCTGCGCTTCCACGGAATTTTCGGGTTCCGACCAGACGGCAAAAGCCAAGCTTCAGCTCTCGAACAAAAGAAGGCCAACGTGACGTACAAAATGGCCAACCCCACTAATCCTCCAAGCTGCATACGGCTACCGCATATGGGTGTCTTTAGTTTACGACAAAAGTCGGCGTGGAACCCAAAATTAAGCGAAAATGTAGAAATAACACAGAATCTGGCTCATCATCTTCCCTTGATAGGTGCTAGTTTCAAGCTCTTTAGCATCTCTGGTTTCTTATAGCGCCATCTTACGGACAGTCATCATCAACATGCCCGTAGCAATCTATTAATCGATCACAATTTATAGTCCCTGTGACTATGCAACAGATAAGTCTATCGATTTTTATTATTTTACGGGGAGAAAATAAGTTGAGAAGGTTTAAGGGATACGAATTTCTGTTACATTTACAAGTATGTAGTTGAAATAAAAATTATTGTATTTTCATTTAGGTAGACATCATTTCTCTACTGTATATCTTGATCTCAGTTATCCAGAGAATTTCTACAATAACATTAGTGCTGACATCTGGTACTTGGTAGTGAAGATATATTTGGGTATACTCATGAAAAAAACAAACAGAAGTAACCCTTGTTTTTATTCTTTGGTCTTCATAATTTGAATAAAATTGTATGTGGTATAAGAATAAATTTATGTTTGTTTGGAATTAAGCACAAAGCGTTGTAAGTCCGCAGACATACCGCTGTGCCATTGGGGGGCATAAATTTATGGCTATTCACGTGAATAATAAAACACTCAATGTTCTTAATCGGATCCCATAAAATATATTTTGTTTCATATTCTAAAACTGTATGATGAGCCACTTAAATCATTTAGTGAGTGTATTTATGAGCTTGCTTGTAACTGTAAGTTCTCGTTTTTTAATATTAGGAGAACTGACAAGACATGCACTGGTCGTATAAACGCTAGGATGTGTATTTTGGCGTTTATTATATTCCTATACTTTTCTTCCATTCTGCGTGTGTTATGTAACACTTCTGCACTGCCTATCTCTGTAAAATTTCATTATGAAACCTGTTTCTTGATTAATTAATTATGTCACACTAAAAATGTCTGGAGAGTACGTAGAAACTAATCTGCCCTCTTTACATAGGTATAAAATAAACATTAAAATACGTAAAATTCTAGTTTACTACAACAACTTGTCAATTCTAAGATCGTTATATCATAAACATAACGAAATACTTTGAAAACTTTAATCAGTCATAACTTTCATTAAAACTGAAATAAACTTAGATGCCTCGTATGTAAAATAGTTTAAAAAATAGTGCAAGCACCAATGGTGTATGTTGGATTTTCTTTCATTAATATCTGAGTTTAAAGGTAATATAATATATAGTATATGAAATGGTGTTTTAATTGTGCTTATCGGAATTTACAGAAATGTAATCAATAAACTAAAGCGTACATCGAAACATATCGAACATATTATTTCATCATCAATTTTAAACAATGAAATCTAATTTATTGGATGTTCTTAATTATAAAGACGATAAACCCTTTTCTACTCGTTTTTACTAGTCATGTAACAAAGAATCTGAATCATCATTTTTTATTGATAGGTGCTTGTTTCAATTTTTTTAAGTGTACTCATACAGTGTATAGAAACTCGGTTAATAAGTGGTAACTAATAAAAATATTTAAATTTCTGGAAGTGTAGTGCTTATATTTTATTCTGGCTTTCTACAGTTTCTTTTACGTTGGTTATATGTGGTTCGTTCTTTTTTAATTAAGTATTAATGAACGTATAAGTTATAGTTGTAAATTATTCTACAAGTATTAAGAAATAGATTTACATTAAAATTATCTTTTCATGTTAAATTGTTCAAGGCTTTTCTTCTCAGAGACATGGAAAACTTACAACCATGAGGTGGAAACCTATTAACATGATCTTGGATAGCATAAAAAAATCACAAATAGATTTAGTTTTTCTCTACATTCACATTTAACCTCTTGATTACAAAAAAAAACATAAACCTGTGAGGAAACTAGTTTTACAAACTGAACTTTTCAGTGACAATTAAATTAAACAAAATGTTACTTTTATATATGTGTTAAATATAAGTATTTATTAAATACCTTAATCGCGACAACATCCAGCAGTGTTTCTTGGGGTTATTGTTCTTCCTTCTGATAAAAACAGTAAAGCGGCATTAAGTGCTGGTCTTGCTAACTATTACATGTAGTATCATTTGTTGTACGGAAACATATGTACCTGTTACTGTAAATACAAACAACAAAAGTCCCCCGGTGAGTCAGCGGTAAGTTTATGGAATTACAATGCTAAAATTCGGGATTCGATTCCTTGCAGTGGATAGAGTGCAGATAATCTATTGTGTAGCTTGATACTAAAACAACAACAAATAATAATAATATAAACTGCCGCACACAATAAGCTATGCACAAAAAGAGCTTTACATGTATGGGGATACACATTATTCATAAATGGCTAAAGCGTATCAATATCTATTACGTTTAAGAAGTTGTATGTAATAAATACATTAATATTTAATTAACATTGGATAATACCTTCGTTCAACCAGTATGGTACTACTGTTATCGAAACAAATGAATCATGATCTGAGCCTATATACTTTTCAGCCCTTTAACAAAGTATGTATCTAGATAGAATATAATCTATCACACTATCCTTAGTAATATATTCATACCCTTGTATAGAAACCTGTCACATATAGGCAAGTTTAATAAGTGGTAATTAATCAGAATATTTCAGTTTCAAGAAGTTAAAATGATAATTAAAAATGACATTGATGAGTCGTAGAAATGACAACAATATTTCATTTACCAAGAAATTCGATATTCCATTGGAAAGAATTTTACCTTTATTTGTGTAAAAGTAGTTTCGATTGAAAAGAGAAATTACTTCGTAGAGCAAAATTTCCTGCTATCTTGTTAAATTTCAGAAAATAACTACTATTTATGCAAGTAAGTTTATTTTTATATAAAATGAGACCACCAGTGATTATCATGTAAGCAATAAAAACATGTAAATAACGTAAATTTCTTAAGAATGACATTTCCAGTCCACGAAACATGTTGAACTATTTAAAAAAAATATCTCATTAAATGAAAAGTTTTAACCATCTTAAGAAGAACACTATCACTCAGTTTCTGATAAACTTGGTATTGTTTTCAAAAATAGTTAACACAGAAATAAGAAATGTTTGGGTCGCATAACGATGTACATTTACTGAGAAAATTTGATTTACCATACATATCAAAATTTGATTTACCATACATATCATTTTCCAGATGGACATAATTTCCATGAGTTATTCAACATTTTACATTGAATCAAATCTCATACTGAAAAATGTCGTTGAAATATATTATTTTTCCTTATACTATAGATTTATTAAATGTAAAATCTCTGAAATAAAAGTTGTCCAAGCCAGGCTAAAAAGGATTTTTATTCCTTGCTCAAAATATTTATTTTCGTAAGACAATCATATACTTAAGATTTAGTTACTTTATTAGTCTTATCTTGTTAATAATATAACTTGATATTTTGGGAAGAAAACTGTTTCATGTTTTATTGAAGTTACGTTGTTGTTTCCTTCATCAAACAAATTTCCGCATAGACGAATAGGAATGGCAATATTGTTAAAACGTGACCATGTTTTATCTTGTCTTTCTTACCCTTGAAGTAAAGCATCATTTAAATATTATTGTATAAGATCTTATATGGCCCCATCTGGTGTCACGATTAAGTGTCATAGGCTATCCAAACTATGCTTGAAAAAAATGTAATACTCGAGAAGTGTCCACAGAAACAAGCAAAAAAAAAGAAATATTAAGTAACCTTTAAAATGGAAGTCTTAGAGTTAATAAAAGTACGAAAAAGAGCTCCAGCAAGCTTAATATACATTGAAATTTGAATTATACAATGATAACTACAAATAAATGTGTGAAACTTATAAATAAAGTATAAAATATTAATTCATGCTTCATAAAAAATAATGTAATATATTAATACTTACAGAATCAAATAAATAATATTACGAAAACAAATGAAAAATAAGTCGTGTATTTACTTTATTGAATATTAACCAATATTTCAATACAGTTTTGAAAATCTGAGGAATTAAAGGTTATTATAGATTCAATTTGAGTTTTGAACGAATTAGAATAGATAAGACAAGTCCCCGGTGGGATGGCGGTAAGTTTACGAATTTACAACGCTTAAATACGGGGTTCGATCCACGCTGTGGATATAACCAATAGCCCGATTTTGCTTTACTCTGAAACAAATAAGGTACATAGTTTGTTTTATTGCGCAGCTGTAAATATTGGTATCATGAGTGGATTGGAGAGTTTATTATAGTTCCACAGTAATATGAGTTTGTTTGGTTGTTGTTTTTCACATACACCGACAGGCCATTTTAAGTGGATTCCTGTCCAAACTTTCTAGAACACTAAAATTAATTTTTATAAACATTTTGATGCTTCAGATTATTACTTTGAGCTCTATGAATGCAGAGAAGTAGTCTACATGATAGTTAGTCTACAGGACAATGGATCTGTGGTTTTCGACTATCAAATACGCTCATCTAGATATGAATCCTTATCAACGGATGTTCCTTTGATTAGCTATTCAAAGACACCCGTGAACAGTAGTAACCAAGAGAGAAAATATTTCCAAGTATAAAAACTGTGGCCACCATCCACTGAAGTTGAATGGTTAATACGGTTGCACAGTCGTCAGATTGTGCCTCATTTGCTTGATAGTAGTCAGGATTTGAAATAATTTGAACCTCACCGTGCGAAGGATATTACAAAAACGGCCACAGCCCAATCTCAACTATTTATTGAAGATGAGTTAAAAGTATGGAAAAAACCGTAGGAAGTAAATGATCCTGGTGTTCCTCTGACATTACTAACTGCCAGATAGTGTAATTATGTGGAAATTAACGTAGCAGGTGTTGAATTCTATGGTTGTTTTAAAAGGGTGAATAAACATCCAAAGCGCGCCTTAACGATTATGACTATCCTATAACTTGTATAAGCTACATATTCACTATAATGGTTTTTTTCTATGATGTTAATGCAACAATCAGTCGTGATCACATTTCCAATAATTTGTTTCAAGAGTATGAAAGTAATTTGATTAATATAGTTTGTAGCTTGAAATGGCCTAGTAGTTATGGTGCTCAGACTGTGAATCCGAAGATTCGTAGTTCGTGGCTTGCTGTCGCAAAAACGCGTTCAACACTTTAGGGCCGTTGGTGCGTTATATGAGTAACGGTCATTTCTCACTATTCGCTTTAAAAAGCACAACACTTGACTAACTGCCTTTCTTTCAGTTTCTCTGTTCAAAATTAGTGGCGACTGT